AGTAGTCCATGTGCCAGAGTGACGAAAGTTCGTCGAAACATTAACATATTTCATTTTCTTGTCGTCCTTGTCGTTCAGCGACGCCCAGTGGGGTTGATCAGTTTTACTTGCAGAACATCATAACTTTAATACATGTCACACAATCAAGTATTGGACACTTTTACTCTTGACCTTTGCCTTAGCTCGGGTCACATTTAAAGAATATTGACACTTCCGGATTGGCGGCATTCCGCCTTAAACTTATACAAATCTCTCTAGATTGTGAAGCTTTATTTATTAAACTTTGCCACGCGCCCTCGCTAATAAGCATGTTTTCGCTCCGCGACCCCAGCGTTTTAAATTGTAAGTTGTTCTCAAACATTCGCTTGGTGGGGTCTCGGGGCGAAAACATGAATGGCACAAATTAGCCACCATACGTAACAAACGGCACAGAAAATTTGGCTGAATTATAAAGAAATTATGGTGGCTGATTTGGAACACTTTTGTTCGACGAGTTGCCGCAAGCGACAGCAAGACAAAGCACCAAACGGGGCGTTGTCGGACTTTCGTCTTGTCGCCCTGTCGCTAACGATGTACGCCACACGGCGCGTTGTCGAGCGGCTTGTTGTCGCGATGTCACATTTTCGTTCGGCTCAAATCGAAGAATTGGCTTTTAGTATATGTATAAGATAAACGACATCGCGTTTGGTGCGCTTTTCTAGCGACAGGAAGACAAGACGAAAACGCGATAATGAGATAGGTTGTGCTGTCGCTATTGTCAACGCAACGCGCAAAGTGTACCAAATCAACCACCATAAGAAATAGTGTACGAACTTGCAAATATGCCATTCCGCCATATTGAGACACCCAAGGAATTTTGTAACTTTACACGTTTACTTATCAAACTACAAATTTGCTTTTTGTTATAGATATTCCGTGATAAACATAATTGCATTTGAAACAAAAACCTGTTGTATGCTCTGGTAGGCGATACACCCCATATTAACATTGAATTGTTCTATTATCAACCTTTTACCACATGAGGATATTGTGAAAAATGGCCGTTTTCATTGAAATGCCTCCTGTTACAAGTTCAAACTGCTATAAAACTAAGAAAAAAGCTTCAATTCTGATGAAACTTGGCACAAATGTTGACTGAACCATAACCTCTGTAACAGCATGCTAAATCTTAATTTTCCTGTTACAATGACAACCGGGCGACGTCTCAAAACTGCGAGAAATTACTATTTATATTGATTTTTCCATAAAAACTAATTTCAAAGTGCTGTAACTTCTCAATGCATTGAGGTAGAGTAAAAGACTTTTCAGCGTTGGTTACACGTTAACTTTGGATCGACCTGAAGTCATTTTTAGCCTGTAACATGTCCAAATGGACAACCTGCCCCCTTCAAACACCCAAAACAGAAGGGGGTACATCCACCTTCTGGCAACCCCCTGATGTATCATTTTAATATGGGGCCGCGCCGAAAAAAAAAGATCACTTTTTCAACAACATTTCTCAAACGAAAAACAGTATTTGGGGCCTAGTAAGGGCATTAAGGGCCTTTTTTGCACTGTTTGAGGCCTCAAAAAGGGAGGTAACAAAAAGCCGTCAAAACACGTCTATATGAGGGAAAAAAGTTAAAAGTGGTTTTTGGATTTATGACAGAATGGCATATGTAAGCATCTTATTTTACAAACTAAAACTTTTATAAAACACAAACAAAAAATTTCGAAACTTTGCGTAAATTTCTAGCATAAGGAACTCTTCGACTTTTAAGATCAATAGAAGCGTATGGTAAGAATCTAATGTATAAAGTATACTATCACAACTACTTTGGAAATGTTGAATTTTTAGTCATTTTCATATGAATTTTATTTTTCAATGAAAATAACTTTTGATACTTCTAAATTCACATCAACTTAATAAATGTCGAATCTCATGAAAATACATATATTAATATTAACGCGTGTATATGCATCTTCCTATAGTGAAAAATACCTTATTGTCTTCTATATAGTCGTGTTGGAATTACCAAAAACGTCGCATGCTTTCGAGTTATTTATTGCTTTAATTATAGCTATCATGTTATTTTATGACAGTGTCTGCCAGTTTTTCAGTTCATATTCGAGGATGTAGGAGGCGCTTCAATGCTCAATTTAAGGGGTTTCTCCTGCAAGCCGAACAAAAACTCCCGACGGTCAACTTCGGTATATAGGAGACTACAGATACATGAACTGTCAGGTAAGACTATTAGTGATAGTTCTGTACCTATATTCATTATTCATATTATTATTATCATCATCATAATCATCATCATCATTTTACCTATATAATTACCAAATATACTTTAACATAGTTCGTTTGTTTGTTTTGTTGTGTTTTTTTTTCGTGGTTTTTTTCTTGTTTTTTGTTGTTGTTGTTTTATTTTTGTTTGTTTATTTTTCTTTAATGGTTGTTTCAATGTATTGTTGTTAATTTTCGGTACAGGCTTAAGATCTTCTTCTATGTTATGCAAAGATCAGTTCGGATTAGTGAGTGGTCGCCAACAGGTGCCCCTAGGATTCAATCCCAACTTTACCCCAAATGATCCTTTTATGGGAAATCAAGCTGACCAAATAAATAAATAAGTCGAATACCTGATGATTAAATTCTTGTTATTCTAGTTTCATTTAAGTATCAAAATAATAACATTTTATTATATATGTCACTCGTAGTCTTAAGATGGGACCTTTTTCTGATGAAATTGATAAAGCTGTAAAGTATTTAGTGTACATGTATTTGATACATGCAGTGCAACAATTATAAGTTCATTTAATTTCATGTGCATATAGTTTTGTATATCATATAAAATAGAAATAAAATCAAAACAAAACAACATTTAAACAGCTTATTGCAACCAAATCATTTCGTTGATTGACAATTGAATTGTACTGTTAATTCTATTCTTGCAAGTCTAAAGTCGTTAAATGTGTTAATATCATTTTAAACAATTTAAAAGTTTTTTGCTTTTTTACAGGATGTAATTTGCCAGAGGATGCAGTGTCCCCGTGGTACAGTGGTACCCCACACCGAAAATTTGCCCAGAAATATGGCACAATTACAGTAGATACAACAAACCAGTTCAGTTTGTGTAAGTAGTAGTCTTGCTCTCATATTTTTCATCTCCGGGTTACATATAAGTACATTCAACATGAAAAATGTACCCTGTTATGAGTAATACCATTGTAATCAAATTACATGCAATTTATGAGCAATTACAAATTCATTGATTTTAGTTTAAAATTATATTTCAAATCCAGTCGAAAGCAATTAATTTATAGGAATATTTCGTCACGTGCTTTTTTATCCTATAAATTGTTATATATTTATATAGAAAAGAGTAATATTATTACAGATTAATTTTAATCGGCCAAATGTACGTGCATATATGTCCTCGTGACAAGGAAAGTTATATAATTACCATAACATTTTGATGCACACAATTTATAACAGAAATTAAATTTATATCCAATCGCTTAAATATTAATTCATTCTAAAAAATATTTTGAAAAAAAAAAAATATTCCAGTATGAAATTTCTTAGATCGAGCATTACAAGTACTTTTATACTTCTGTCTTTTCCAGCCAACTCAACCAGATGGTACAGCAGCGCCACCAGGGCTTCTCCCGGTATCGTCTTGTTGCTGACGTCATTATGTACATTATTTTATTTTATTATGTGATACCATTGACTTTCGAAATATGTGCTAACTAGACGTGTTCTTTTTGTGTCAAATATCTACAAAGCATTATTTGAGCAATAGATAACGAAAGTACGCCTGAAAAGTGTGGTTGCCAACAACTTTCGGATGACACGTTCCTTTTCACGTCTGCTGCAATGAATGATTCATATTATCATTTGAGATTGGACAATTCATGTGTTTCCCAAAGTCAGAGATGTTAACCTAATAACGAATATGAATCCAAAATGACTGAGTACTGAATATCAATTAACTAATTAAACTGATTTAAAAGATGGATTAAATTAAGCGGTATTTTCCCGGAGTCATATCACATATATACATGTATATACTAGTATTCATATAACTTGGTATTTCATGAAATTATTTGCCCACTTACGTAGTACATTGTAATTGAACCTTTTTGTAAAGAAAAATTCAACAATAACCGATAAATTTCATACATTCACTTATGTGTGTTTGCAGACCTGGGTGAGTGTATGTGATCGAGTAACAGTTCACAAAATATTATTGTAAATTATCAAGTATATTATACCTATTTCAGTTTTGAGTTAATAAGCACCTTTATTTGTAGATTGCATTTCTAATAAGCAATCGCCCTTAAATGAATAGAAAGTATTAATGTGTATAGTGTTTTTTTGACAACCAGTGTTAAATCAAAAAGTGGATGAATATAAAGGAAGCTTTGAGTGAACGGTGTTCGAGTGAGTGAGTGAGTGAGTGAGTGCAAATGTATGGAAGAAAACAAACGGAGAAACATCTTTGTACCATAATAACCTTTCATAATTGATTTCGTTACCAATATTGAGTATTTGACATTCGTGACAGCTATTGCCACAATCATTTTCTAAAATGATTTAATATTTTCATCCTAGAGTGTTTTTTATCTTTTATTTGAAACTGAATTTATTATACATCTATATGTCTGTTATTACTTAAATGATTCATATTTTTATACATAATCTTGTATGGTTTGTTAATAAAAGCTTTTTATACACCTACGTTTTAGACTTTACGTTAACTTTAATAATACATTGACTCAAAAGCCATCCAGCTAACTTAAACTTTACTTAAATTTAACAAGTTAAGTAAATGTATTATATAACTTCCACACATTTTCTTGGACACAATGCATGTACCATACAGTCAAATGCGACCAGTTAAAATAATATGCTTTTGTATTCTAATGGAACGTATATTATAATAGCCTTCTGATCCAGCACAATCTACTTGATACAATGCATTTCTAGTAGATTCATTTTAATCTGACCAAACAAATAATTTTGTAATCAAGCTGAACTTCCGGAAATAATGTTCATGGTAGACTTACGTTTTTCAACCTTCCTATGGAGGATTGATAATTACTGTTGACCACTACCTGTGTTTACTGTTAAATTACTTATACTCCCTTGAAGTTTGATAATCACGGCCAATATTAATTTGGCTTTTTTTCGAACGTTGTAACAAATCATACAAACACACATACCCCTATTCCCTTATGGAATCAGAAATATATTTTTACTGGTTTACAAATTAAAGAAAATAGATAGAAAAAAAGAAGCAGGGGAAACAATATTTTTATGATTTTTGAAAATGTAACAACTGGGGCTCATGAGTGGCATATAATTAACTGCTGTTGTTCAAGATTATAACTTAAGTGTGAAATATGAATAATTACTGGTGCTCATAAGTGAAATACATGTTTAATTGGATCCTACAGGTACGTGCTTATATGTTTTCTATTGTTTTACATACATATTTTTATTAAGATAATTTGATAAGATTTGAAAATTAGTATATCATCTTAACATATGTGTGTTTGCAATATCTTTTTCACATTTTTACATACATTTAATGGAGTGTAGACGGTCTGCTGACATTTCCATTTGTTTATGATTGATGTTCTTATTTCGCTATCAAAATTGTTCGTCCATTGAAACAATTGTTCATTATTTTTTGTGAAAATATACCATAAATATACCATAATTTAAATCATTACAATTAATTACATGTATAATATTTTTAAGTATTATATAAAAATAAGCACTGTTATCCAGCGAAAACAAAATAGAAGACATTTCAGTTAAAACATTAATTAAAACATTCCAAACGGTTAAGTATTATTAAGTCAATGCTATATTTCTTCATATGTATTCGTCAATTTTTACATACTGAATTAATCTGTATGAATAAGAACTCCGGAAAATGATGTCCAATAATTTGTGTCAGTGTGAAATAAAATCTGGCCGCTACTTGTTTGAGATATGACCTTTACCCAAACTTTCTTTCCTGACTGTACTGGGATTGTTGTAGTTAACTTGAAGCAGCAAACACTACTATAGTTGTCTTGATGCCTTGCAATATCCATATAAACACCATCAACCACTAATCCGTAATCAATTCTTTTACTTTGATCAATACATAACTGAACAGTAAACAGATAAATGCCTCCAAGTGGAACTGTAAATACTCCAGTATCAGTATTGTAACTCTCGCCAAGGTTAAGGAGGATGTCAGTGAATACAATGGTTTCGCCATTTGCGGGACTTCCATTTTTAATGTTCTTCGCATGAAAGGCAATATTTGGTGACACAACTTTATCTGAAATAAACATATACAAGTAAAAACACATAAATCAATATAACAGTTTTCACAATAACCGAATAAAGACAGTAAACATATTTTGTCAGTTACAACAAAACACTTTCTTGTGTTTCTGGTATAGTACTATCTCGTAATAACGTAGTTACCAGAAAATTATCTTATACATTGTAGTTTCGTTATCATAAAAAACGATAAAATAAAGTACTTCTTGATTTCAAAATCCAGGCGAGAAACCAAGATTTTTACCAGACTATGCCACAAATAGTGGATAATGCAAATTCTTAAGGAGGTTTATCTACGAGAAAATATCATGACTGCTATCTAGTAAAAACTCGATGTTTCTACTTAGCACGTCGTAGTTACTATAGAATTTTCTCGTGAAAGTGAGATATTTATTTAACTAAGAACGCTCCCTTATGTAATGTATAAATAAAGTCTCATCTGTGGATGTTTTTAATTCAAAATGTTATCATTTCATGTAAACTGCTGAATTCTGCTTAAGCCGATGGTAGGGGACGTGGACAATAACTTGCACTTTAATTTATCATTCATGAACATGCTCATCAAGTCGAACTTCCCCATACAATGTCAATTATGCCGTTTTGGGCGTTCATTCGGGTATGGTTATTTCTATATTTTATGCAGTCATGAATATAAGTAATAATATTACTAAACCTTTGTATGTTAATAATGAATTCTACCAGCAACAAAGAAAATATACGGGTTTTAATTATATATATATATGATGCGCGATGCATTGAACACTTCAAAGCTGGGACAAACGACTCAACGAATAATTTGAGCATTTGTAAATGATAATTATTAGCTGTCACCGTAAAGTCAAAATGTACGTTGAAGAACACAATTAAGAATATATACATCTAGAAAAAATGTGAATCAAACTGAAGATTAGAGATGCATCAGAACTTTGAATGTGGTACTAGTACTAGTATTTGTCAATTTGTGCAGTACCAGTATGAGTATTTGCCAGTATGCGCAGTACCAGTATATGTCATTTTGTGCAGTTCCAGTACCAGTATTTGACAGTATGTGCAGTACCAGTATATGTCATTTTGTGCAGTACAAGTATGAGTATTTGCCAGTATGCGCAGTACCAGTATATGTCATTTTGTGCAGTACCAGTATCAGTATTTGCCAGTATGCGCAGTACCAGTATTTGTCAATTTGTGCAGTACCAGTATCAGTATTTGCCAGTATGCGCAGTACCAGTATTTGTCAATTTGTGCAGTACCAGTACCAGTATTTGACAACTTGATCAGTACTAGTTCCGGTACTTGTTACGATGCAGTACCAGTTTGTTAATTTTGAAAGTCATTAAGTTCCAATACCAGTAATCATTCATTTACCATGATTTTCGTAAAGAAATAATGTCAAAGACTAGAAATAACAGTATTACATTACATATTAAATTTTAAAGCAGTTCTTATCATACATTTATCAACAAGGTACATTTTCTTTTTCTTTTTTTCTAAAAATTATTTGCCGTGTTAAATATTCTTTTCATGTGTTGTTGGTTTTCATGACAAACTGGTAGCGTAACGAAACCTTTCAATCATTCAATCAACACCGCCACGGATTTCTGCAAATTTCGATTGCATTGCACCATTGCAAATTAATATGTTCTGATATATGCAGAATAATAGGTTGACTTTGACTGGCAAACACTCAGCAACCGATGACCATAGATTACCATAATATTTAGTACTTTGATTTCCATTGAAATGCAGTAAGTGTTACTTTTTAAAGATCCAAAGTTTTATGTACCTTATTTCCTTATGGTTCGTTATTGTTCGCTTTGATACAGTTTATCTATCTTACACAAGTATGATAATCGATGCATATTTAAACCGATCGCTGATGCAATGCACTATTTCACACAATAAAAAACATGTACTTTACAATATTTTTGCTGTATTCTTTTTTAATCGAGGTTCTTTACAGGCAAGTTTTTGTGGAAGAACAGTTTACATAATGTGCAGTTTTTGTAAAACAGGTATTATAAGGTAAACAAGACAGATTACATTCCAGGTTATTCGTTGCTTGCATATCTTTATAAAGCTCTTTGTTTTCTTAAACATTGAAAGTAATTATTCTTCAAACTAATTAAAACATATTAAATAAGATAGATTACCTTTAAGGTCTTGCACTGCTTGCATATTTTTGTCTAACTCGCTCTTTGCTTTCTCTTGTAATGTGATAAGGTTTGTCTTACTGCTTTCTTGCATTGTTTCTATTTCACCTTTCCAAGTGGCTGTATCTTCACTTAGCTTGGCTAATGCCCCGGTAATTCTTGTTTCCATGTCATCTATTTGTTTCTTCATGTTTTCAACAAGAATTTCTGTCCTGATCATCTTTTCTAGCATTTTTTCCTCATAGTGAAATTTAGAGCAATGTGGCTCCGAGGAACATGCAACAATCACAGTTATTATTATTAAATATGTTTTCATGATGGTCACGTAAAAAACAACTGTATTAACTTGCTTCTTATAACAGTATTTTATGCATTAGAAATTTTTGATTCGGATACAGTTTTTACGGAATACCGTAAGGGCCATCGTGGTTATACTTTATAGTCATGACGACAATGCGATAGTGTGATGGTGACAGTGCGATATCGCGATGAAGACAGAACGATAATACGACAATGTGATAATGGGATGGCAACAGTGCGATAATATGATTGTGACAATACGATAGTATTATCGCATTGATGCAATTGCGGTATCGTTCTGTCGTCATCGTGATATCGCACTGTCGCATTGTCGTCATCGTACTGTCGCAATGTCGCCCTCTGGATTATATAGCGTTTTATATAATAGAATATGGGAAAATAATTTTACTTTTGTCTTTTTTGTTTCTTTTTCTTTTTTGATTCTGAAAACGTCCGAATAAAACTATAAATTAACAAAAAGAAACATTTTATATCAAAAGAAAGGGGAAATACTGAAAGAGTTATATACAACATATAAGGAAAATGTTATACATTGTCTGAAACATTAAAACTGCATACCTACAGACTAGCCCAAATAATTTAAAACCATAAAACTTTGGAATACTTACTAAGATTGTAAGAATGGTAACAAGATTTTAGATTCAAGTAATAATTGATATCTTATGTGCTATCAATTACTGATATTGTAGTATTTATCACCATATTTCTACTAAGTTACTAAGACAGTAAGGGATATTTATACATATTTTTACCTCTTTTTGGGGGGTAATTTACGTGGATTGTAACTACTTTTTGCAATATGTAAAGAACTGTCTTTGTTCACTTCACAAATTTCAATACTTTCAGGAAATTAAGGATACATGTGGAGGCGTGCTGCTTTAAAAAAATTCGAAAGATTTCAGATAAAAATAATTTTATGTTCATATTTAAAAGATGCAAAAATATTACTTTTTGATAATTACTTTATTACCGCTTAAGCCGTTGCTAGGGGGCGTGCACTTATTCATTATCCATCATGTACAGACTCATTCAAACCGCGTCTGCCATTCTTTTGTAATTTTGCTGTTATTAATGCTTCCGAGGGATCTCTTTGTTTCAAGATTTTTGTCAGTAGTACATAGAGGATATTCAAAGATTTATTTTTATCAAGTGGTATAAAAATAAATATTTCATCAGTTGAGGTATTATTTTATACATTTTTCTCTTTTTGACATTACAATTTGACACACGAAAAAGACACAAGTGAAAATACGGAAAATATGTTTCATTGCAATGAAAAATACGAGTATTTTCGTATTTTACAGTGAAAATACTAAATTAGATATAAAGAGAACATTATGTCTAGACGTAAATTTTTTTAATTTTTTACAATGTTAGTTAATATGATAAAGTCTATATCTTACAAAGCAATTTAACCACTGATGACCAATTAATAATCTTATAGAAATAACTTAAGTGAGTTTATCTGAACATTGTTGATCAGTTAGATTTATTGATGAACTATATTTGGATTTATAGAAAAACCTTATTTATTAGAATTAAAATACGTATTTGCATTTTTTGTATTTTCACTGTAAAAAATTATATTTCATTGCAGTGAAACATATTTTCCGTATTTTTCATTTGTGTCTTGCCAGACTACTTTCTTCTAAATTCGGCCAATATACAAAATTTTAGGATAAGTCTTTCAAATACTAATGCCAAAAAAAGGAAAAATGTATAAAATAATACCGCAACTCATGAAATATTCATTTTTATACCACTCGATAAAAATAAATCCTGTATTTATAGAAGAAAAAACTTGAATATTCTGTATGTACTACTGACCAAGTTATTACTTTTTGCATCTTTTAAATGTCAACATAACATCATTTTCATCTGAAATCTTTCGACTTGTTTTTTAAGTTGAGCACAATGTATAACATTTTCCGTGTATGTTATATTTAACTCTTTAAGAACTTTCCCGATCTTTTTTTATATAAAATGTTTCTTTTTATTATTTTATAATTTTATTTTGACGTTTTCAGTGTAAAAAAAGAAACAAAAAAGAAGAAAGAAATCTATTAACAAAAGTAAAATTATATCCCCATATCCTATCATATAAAACACTATATAATCAAGAGGGCGACAATTATACGATGGCCCTTACGGTATTCCCTAAGTTTTAGACTGAAATATGTAACGATGTTTGTGGTATTTGTGTGTTTATCATTTTACTTTGATTAAGATCTTGTTTAAATAAGGATGTTAACATTGAAACACGTGCAGACAGTGAGTGTTTATGGTTCTCACAGTGTTCATTTATTCTACAGATTTGCAATTTTTACAATCTTAGTAACAAAACAATTACGGGGTTTGTCTTGTCGTTGTCAGGCAAAGCGTACAGGGATTAACTCGTCAACAACCAATTCGGTATTTCGTGTCACTTTGTGTCAGTTTAAAATGCCATTAATTGCTTTGATAGGACAATGGGCATTTAAACATTGTTATGTTACATACCAGATGTTTACAGACTTTTCCAAACTCATGTGAATTATTGTTGAACAAGGTAAAATACTTCAGACGCTAGAATCTTGTAAATTTCATTTAAAAAAATTAATCTTGTTGGAAGATCATTTTGATAAGTAATTCATATTTATTTTAGATTTCACTACAAATTGAATAGTTAGAATATGAAAATCACGAATAAATCAATATTTGTTTGTAAAATGAAAAAAATATAATAAAAAAATAAACGTAAAACCTTTGAGAAACACATTTAGTTTGAGTAAAATATTTTATGTTAAATGATATCAAACAAGGGAGAAGTCTTCACAAACTCAACAATATTTTATACATTACGAGTCAATAGCAAAAGCCAACTTAACCTAAGAAAAATAAAAAAAATGTCGTGTGTTTCAAAACAGCTGACACGAAATATAAATGACTAATTTTGAAATGAAATGCATTAGGGATTATTTTTCTTTTGATATATGTTAAAATGGAACAGCAATCAGCACAGCAAGAGACTGATAGATATAAATGTATTAAGGCATCAAAGTAAATTTATTCAACAACATAGTAAACTTTAAACCTCAAAACCGGAAAAGAAATACAAACAAAAAGGAATTGTATGCTCGTATTTTCATTGTAAAGTTAAGCTGAATTGACTATATACATGTATTTCAAACAATTGTTTATGACCAATAGTTGAAATAAAATTATGTTAAATCTGCCTAAAATATAAAAGACTGTCCCACTCTTATTATATATTGAACGCTACAGATACATATTGTTGAATATTAACAGATAATTCCTAGGGCTATTGGAGTAATTTATCTTTTATGCAAAGTAAATTTTTAAATTAAGACGAATAATGGCAAATGTGAACTTATTTTGACTTTTAACAATTCATTATGTACTTCTGGATGTACATTGTAACATCGCACTTTTGGGTCCGACCCAAAAGTTCGGTAAACTTCACAACGCACTTTGGGGTCAAAATCGAGAAATTGAAAGAAAGGAATTGCACCTAGGGTTTCAGAGTTCTGAAGGTGCTTAAATTCTGAGTATTGACTCGACACTGAAATATTTGAGGTGAAGTTCAAGATGACGGTCGATACTTATATACATCAATATTTCTAAGTGTCATTTAAATGCAGATAAAGCAGTCATAAAATATGTGTTTGATGTTAAAGTGGTGTTTTATTAATTTTACCACTTTAAATACCTAAAAATTGTGTCTATATAACAAGCTTCTATAGTACTTAAATTACAAATTCAAAATCTATCCTGTCTGACAGCCATTTACTAGATGCCTTTTGGTGCTATATTGAACCCCATATGTAATATGATAAGGGTGTAATAAAATGCGAATTATGTCATCTCACTGCATTTTAATTTCTATCTAATTGACTTGTAACAAGTAAGTTGGAAATGAAATATATCATAAATTGAATGAAGTTACGTGACGGTTACATCAAGCCTTTTGCACATCATTACTTACCTTACTGTAAAGTTTGGTTTTCATCCCGTAAATCTTCATGATTTTTACGTTTGTCAGGTATCAGTCATGCTATTTTATGAAAGCAACTGATACTATAAATAAATTTCAACTTTTTAAAAATATACTTTTATATATCGCAACGACTTATTTTTAATTTGTGGCCATTTTAGACGCCGTCTTGAGACGGCAAAATAAACTGAAAGGACTAAAATTTGATGTACACGTTAATTTACAGCACGGGGCAGTTTATACTGCGAATCAAAATAAACTTACATGTTATTTGATAATACTTAAGGTTTTGAAAGACGTGTCTGTTTGATGAACCACTGAAAACCGCTGCCATTTTGAAATGAGACGAGATGTCTTTTTCCGAAAATACAAAATATACGTGATTGATATAATTCCTGCCATAAATGGACGTGGATTTCATTTAAATAATTATACACTTATGCTCTTGTTAAGCATGGTGAATTCAAATAATATGGCATCCATCTTGAAAGCCATCTTAAATGGTTCATTTTTCCAGTAGTGGCAGATTGACAAAGCCTGATTTTCTTTCAATGCAAGTTTTTTATTTCTACAACATTTAACATAGAAAAGCTATTATGAATCAATTCAGAAAGGTTACCTCCGTTTAATATAACAAGAAATACGGTAAATCTAGATTTTATATGGGTCCTGAACAGATAATATCGATAAGGGACTGGAATTTAATTAGATGGAAATATGTATGACCTGTTATTTCTACAATTATCTCTAGTTCATGGATATGTTATCTTATGTATTATTACACACAATACACATCAAACATATCAATATATCTCATATCTTTTAAGCCAATATCCTATGAGACAATTAATTGTATATAAAACATAAATATAACAAATTGCAACCATTAGATATAACAAATTAAAATAATCAATCATCCGCTATTGTTAACCAACTTAATACATTTAGCCTACTTCGTTTTACGATTGGCATCAACTACAAGATATTATTTTAAAATATCACTATAATTTGGTCCTATTGATTAAATTTTTATGACCCCAAAGTGTGGTCGTTTGTCTGATG